CCGTCCTCATATCGCCCGTCCTCCCATTCGACAAACTGTTTTTCGTCTTCCATCTTCCACCCCCCGCTATCATATTCTATAGATTCATTCTCACACCTTTTAGGAAGCCTTTGTCTAAATTCTCTCCAACGCATTTTCCGTTTCAACCCCTCACACCTCATCCAAAATCCCCAATCCACCCCTCCTCTCACTCTCTCTCTCTCTCTCTCTCTCTCTCTCTCTCTCTCTCTCTCTCTCTGGCTATCTTTTTCTCTCCATGGCTCTCTCCCTCCCTCTACCTCCTGCATCTCTGTCTTTCTCTCTCTCTCTCTCTGTCTCTCTCTCTCTCTGTCTCTCTGTCTGTCTCTGTCTCTCCCTATCTCCTTCCTTGTACAAATATTGTCGTGGGAATTAGAGGTCCTTGTTTGTTGTGACATGTCTAGGGGCAGAGAGGAATTTGGGAGGAACATGTCACTTTTTGGTCTTTTTGTGTGTGAGAGAGAAGGGAAGGGGGAGAGAGTGAAGGGGGGGAGGGAGTGAAGGAGAGAAAAAGAGAGTCAGAGACAGGGGGGGGGGGGGAGAGGGAGAATGTGTCAAAGAAAGAGAGTGGAGAGAGAGAGAGAGGTGTGTGTGTGTTATCATGTATGTGTGTGTGTGTGTCTGGTCTGTGTGTGTGTGTGTGTGTGTTTGCATGTATGTGTGTGTGTGTCTGGTCTGTGTGTGTGTGTGTGTTTGCATGTATATGTGTGTGTGTGTGTCTGGTTGTGTGTATGTATGTGTGTGTTAGAAAGAGATAAAATACGCTTCCTTCTGAAAGAGTCTGAAAGTGAACAGAGAGGAAGTGGGAACAGTTAAGAATCACCTATGGTGTGAGTGACAAGTTGTCTTTGCTCTTCCTGCTAGTCTATCCTTCTTGTTGGGATACACCATTGGTAGGTACTTCTTCTATTCTTTCTGTCTTTTTTCTGTCTTTCTTGCTTATTCGTTTCTGCACTCAATGGTCGGTATGGTATTTGAAGTTCTTTTCTTTACTATTGCTTTAACCCAAACCCGTGGGTTGTTGGTGGGTGCTCTGGTGTAGTTTGCTCCTTCGTTCCTTCCAAAAAATGTTCCATCAGCTCTGAAATGGCCCCATCATCTTGAATATTTCCCATTAATTGTCTTGAATATTTCTGATCATTCCCATACTGACCCTTCGTCTTGGAATATTCCGCCTTCTGTCCCATGACATGTAGTGTCAAACTGGACAGTGCGGGTGGTTGGCAGGTGCTCTGGTGTGGTTTGCTTCTTCCTTCCTATCGAACATCTATCGTCCTTATCTCCCCTCCTTCATTTTTGTGCTTGTTACTCTCTTGTAACACCTCTAATCTTCGGCACTTATATGACCTTATTGTGTTGCAAGTGCAGTAAAACTCTTACTAAAACTAAACTAAACTGGACAGTGCGGTCAAAATATGTCGTGGATTCACCCACAGGTGTGCCCCGGAGTGCATCAACTTCCTCAAGTTCACCTCAGCCTCAGACGTCTGGGCCTTCGGTGTCATGCTGTGGGAGTTCTTCACATACGGCTTCCAGCCCTGGGCCGGACTCAATGGCCAACAGGTGAGGCAGGATTGATGATTATTAGGGGATCGGGCAAGAGAGGGGGGGGGGATGGGGATGCGAATGTGTGTGTGTGTAGGGGGTTGGGGGTTGAGGGGTGAGGAGAGAAGTAGAGAGGGATAAGGAGAGAAAGATAGAAAGGGACAAGGAGAGAAGTAGGTTCTACATCTTATTTTCTTTTCCTCTGTTTCCGTTGGTTTTGCTTTTTCTCAGCACTATGTGGCGGTTATTGCGATGATATGCTTGTACATCAACATGTTTTCCTTAGGCTATAGGCTTGTTTCTAACTGGCTATCTCTGTCTCTCTCTCTTTTTCTTTGTGGGTGGTTGGAAAGCACCAATGGTTGGTCCTACTTCTTATCTTTCCATCCATTGTTTCTGTCTGTTTGTCTTACTTTTTTCCAGCGCTAAATGACCGGTATTCATATTGTGTTGATATTCTTCTCTTTACTCCAAGTTAATCCTGTTTCTGTGTGGGTGGTTGACAGGTGCTGTGGTGTGGTTTGCTTCTTCTTTCCTATCAAACATCTATCGTCTTTCTCTCCCCTTCTTCTTTTTTGTGTTTGTTACTCTCTTGTAACACCTCTAATCATCGGCACTTATATGACCTTATTGTGTTGCAAGTGCCATAAAACGCTTACTAATATTTTTAAAAATTCATATAGTATTGATATTCTTCTGTTTACTCCAACTAAAACCTGACTGTGTGTGTGTTTCTGTGCCTGTGTGTCTGTGCTTGTGACCAGGTCCTGGAGGCCATCTCCCCTCCCAGCGAGCAGCGTCTGGAGCAGCCCGACCTGTGCACACAGGACTACTACAGCCTGATGAAAGAATGCTGGACAAACCAGCCACAGGACAGGCCTACCTTTGCCAGCATGATGCTCCGACTGCCTCAAGTGGGTGTTTGTTGGTGGTGGTTGTTGTGGTGTTGTTGTTGTTGTTGGTGGTGGTGGGGGTATTGTTGTTGTTGTTGGTGGTGGTATTGATGTTGTTGGTGGTGGTGGTGGTGGTGGGGGTATTGTTGTTGTCATTGGTGGTGGGGGTATTGTTGTTGTCGTTGTTGGTAGTGGTTTGAGGTGTTGTTGTTGTCATATCAGCCACAGGACAGGCCTACCTTTGCCAGCATAATGCTCCGACTGCCTCAAGTGGGGTGCTTGTTGGTGGTCGTGTTGTAGTTGTTGTTGTCATTCCAGAAACAAACTGTCACAGTCAGATTTGTTTTTGATTTCATCATTGTTGGGGTTTGTGATTTAGGTGGTGTTATTGTTGTCGGTCCAGAAGCGAACTGCCATAGCAAGATTGATAGTTCATATTGTTATTGTTGTTCCTGGCGGTGGTGTTGTGGTGATGCTGTCTGTGGTCTTGTTGTTATCAATCAAAATTTATACTGCCACAAATAGTAGAGGCTGTCTATATTGTTGTTGTTGTTGCTGTTCCTGTTGGTGTTGTTGATAAAGGTTGTTAATTTTGTTGGTGTTGTAGATAAAGGTTGTCAATATTGTTGTTGGTGTTGTAGATAAATGTTGTCAATATTGTTGTTGGTGTTGTAGATAAAGGTTGTCGATATTGTTGATGATAAAGGTTGTCGATATTGTTGTTGTTGATAAAGGTTGTCAGTATTGTTGTATTGCTATCTGCCACAGTTACGCCCCACCCAAGTGAAGGCCCTCAAGGACTACCCAAGCCCCACTGTGGAGAAAGGCTACATCTACTACAAGACGGGTGACGTCATTGTGGTCATTGATAAAACGTGAGTCACTGCACTGTGCTAACTACCTGTCTTGATTACATTATGTGGGTGATGTGTGTGTGCTGGGTGTGTGTGTGTGTGTGTGTGTGTGTGTGCTGGTTGGGAGGGGGTGGGGAAGGGGGGTGGGGTTATCCCATCTCATCTTATCTCTCCTTGGCTTACTGCACCTCATCTCACCTTGTCTCATCTCACCTCATCTCATGGGTGGTTGGCAGGCGCTCTGGTGTGGTTTACTCGTTGTTTTCAATTCAGTGCTTATATTAACCTATTTGCTTTGCAAGTGATGTAAAAATCTCTCTTAAATTAAAAACTCACCTCATGTCACCTCATCTCATCTCACCTAGGCTTGCTACACCTCATCTTATCTTGTCTCCTCTCACCTCACCTCATCTTATCTTGTCTCCTCTCACCTCACCTCATCTTATCTTGTCTCCTCTCACCTCACCTCATCTTATCTTGTCTCCTCTCACCTCACCTCATCTTATCTTGTCTCGTCTCACCTCACCTCATCTTGTGCATATTTGGTGATCCCTCTAGTGTGGTTTACTCATTCTTTGCCGTAAAAATTCTATTTCCCTTATCTCCCCCCCCCC